GTATGCCTCCTCACCATATGCTCATTCCATGATAAGTTTATGTTCCAAGATGAAATAAAAATTAAATGTGTAACACTGGGATTCTTAAAAAGGATAATAACAAAATACACCTATATGATAAAAATTTTTAACCACACCCAAGAAATAGTCTTTTTCTTTTTTTTAAAAAAAGTATTTTTTAGTTATATATGGGCGCGGTATCTTTATTTTGTTCATTTATTTTTATGTGGTGCTGAGGATCGACCCCAGTGCCTCACAGGTGGGAGGCAAGTGCTCTACCACTGAGCCACACCCCAGCTGCTAAGAAACAGTCTTTTTCAAAGTTCAGTTATTACAGTACACGTTATGTGCCTTATGAGTTTGGAATGATAATCTGCAAATGTGTCGTATCTCTATAGTTTAAAGTCCTTATACATACTTTCTTTTTGCTTATATAGGATTTACTCATAAAATCTGTTTTTCTGAGAAGTTATATACTTTCAGTTATTTATTATTGTTTTCTTTTGTTGAGAATCCAGGAGTCAGGATGTAATGTTGCTATGGCAATGAATATGTACAACTAGGTGTTTGGAGAGGAAGTTAAATGATGAAAAATATATTTGCCTATAAATTCCTTCTAGTGAAATTTTTAAGTCTTGCAAGTAAATTTTTTTCTGTTATATACAACTATATGAAGGAAGTATGTTATACCACATCTTGAATGATGAATCTCTACTGTGTATATTAAGTAGCAAGAACACAGGAACATCTTAATACACTACAGCTGAGTTTTTGTTTGTTTGTTTGGGGCCAAGTATTGAACTTAAGGACCACCCAGTCCTTTTTATTTTTTATTTTGAGAAAGGGTCTACACTAGGTTGCTTACAGTCTTGCTAAGTTGCTGAGGCTGGCTTTGAACTTGCGATACCCCTGCCTCAGCTTCCTGAGTTGCTGGGATTATTGGCATGACCCACCACACCTGATCCATAGTATTTTCTTAAGAGTAGTTCACTTTTTTAAATATATATATTTTTAGTTGTAGATGAACACAATACCTTCTTATTTTGTTTGTTTATTTATTTATTTTTTAATGTGGTGCTGAGGATTGAACCCAGTGCCTCGCAGGGGCGAGGCAAGCGCTCTACCGCTGAGCCACAACCCCAGCCCCAATGGTAGTTTATTTTATAAGACTGGGTTAACTGCCATAAAGGGATATGTAGGTATATGTGTATGTATGTGTGTAAATAAAGTATAAGTCAGGATACATTTTAAGGATGTAGTTCTTGTTAGTCGTGAAGATGACATTAAGGACTCAAACTTGTTAGAAATATTTACAACTGCCAAGTATATAAATTTCCAGCTTTTGGGATTCAATACATTGAGAGTGGTTAATACCTTGCTTGAAGGGTTTCAGAGTACTGACACTGGAACATACATAATAAGATAGGAAATATGGTATTTAAAGACATAATTTAAAATACTCTTACAAATAAAGAGCTTAAATTTTTGACATATTAACCTTTTGTAGTGTCCCAGAACTTTGCACCAAGAATTCAAAAGATCCTGATTCCTTTATTGGCTGACTACATATTGACTGGCCAGACACCTACCACTCTTTTTTTTTTTTTCATATTGTTTTCAGACAAGGTAAGGATTTTTCACATATAATGAGACTTAATTAGATCAGTACTGAGATATAATATAGATATAATGTGAGCCTCATATGTAAGTTAAAATTGTCTAGTTGTATTATTGTGTTTTTCAGTTTTCTATCACTATGACAAATACCTGAGATAATCAACTTAAAAAAAGAAAAGATTTATTTTGGCTCACATATTTACAGATTTCAGCCCATAGTTGGTTAGTCCTGTTGCTTTGGGGCTATGGTGGCAATTCAGGATGGGAATTAGTGGCAGAGCAAAACAGCTTGCCTCATGGCTGGGAATTGAAAAGGGGGAGGGGGAAGAAGGTGGGGCCTCCCTATGTCCTTCAAGGTCACATCCCCAATGACCTAAAGACCTCCTGCTAGGTCCCTGCCTCTTAAAGCTTCCAGCACCTTCCAATAGTGCCACCAGTAGTGGGGAATCAGGTATTTAATATCTGTACCATTAGGGGACACTTATCCAAATTACAGCACACATTAAAAAGGATAAAAGAATGGATAAAATTAATTTTAATAATATATAGTTGTGCACCACTTAATGATGGGATAAGTTTTGAGTAATGTATTTATTAGGCAATTTTATCTTTGGGCAAACATCATAGAGTGTACTTATACAAATCTAGCCAACTATACACCTAGGCTGCAAGGTATAGCCTACTGTTCCTAGGCTACAAACCTCTATAGCATGTTACTGCACTGAATCCTGTAGGCAAATGTAATACAATGGTAAGTATTTGTGTAGCTAAATATATCTAAACAAGAAAAGTTATAAGAAACACATTGAAATAAACTAAAGTGGTACAACTATATAGGGCACTTACCACAAATGGAACTTTAGAACTAGAAGTTGATCTGGTGAGCTGTGAGTGAGTGGTGAGTGAATGCAAAGCCTGGGATATCACTGTGCACGGCTGTATATGTAGATTACATTCAATTTGTAAAAAAAAAAAAAAAAGAAAAAAAAATTCTTTCTTCAGTAATAAATTAACCTTGGCTTACTATAACCTTTTTCTGTATAAACTTTCTAATTTAAAAAACTTTTGACTTGCTCATAATATCACTTAGCTTAAAACACATATTTTATAGCTGTACAAAAATATTTTCTTTCTTTATATATCTACTCCCTAAGTCTTTTTATCTAAAACTTTGTTGTACTATATATGAATAAACACAGACTCTAAAGATAAACATAATAAACATATATTGAAATTCACTCAAACATAAAAATATAATACAGTTAATATATAAACCAGTAATAGTCAATTATCATTATAAAATATTATGCATTGTACATAATTCTATTATACTTTTATGTGACTGGCAGCACAATAGGTTTGTTTATACCAGCATCACCACAAACATGCGAATAACGAAACGTATTATAGTTTTAGGAGAGCTATCGTGTCACAAGGCAATAGAAATTTTCAGCTCTATTACAATCTTAGGGAAACACTGTTGTATATGAGGTTTGTCATTGATTGAAATGTTGTTATGCAGTACACAACTGTATTTTATTTAATTCAATCTGCCCAAAATATTATGTCAACTTGTAAGCAATGTAAAAGTCATTGATAATGTATTTTACAGTCTTGTGGGTCTTTTTTTTTTTTGCTAATTCTTTGAGATCTAGCATGTATTTTACTCTTACAGTACATGTCAATTTGGTCTGCTACATTTCAAGTGCTCAATATTCACATTGGTTAGTAGATACTGTATTGACAATGCACTATTTGACTAAGAGGAAAGCAATGCTTTTGTTCAGAATATTGAGTTATTCTGCATCAGATTTCTTGGTATAATAACCTTGCTTTCTTAGAAAAGAAGAGCTTTCTGACTCGAAGAGGACATTGCTTACTGCATTCAAGACAAAATAAATATGTGGGGAGTAAACACTTGACATTACTTAATGTCTATAGTTTAACAGTGCTTTCACATATACTACCTTTTTTAATCCAGTTGTAGTTCTGAGAAATAGGGAGGAATTAAGTACCATTTATTTTTATTTAAGGAAGCAGACCCAGAGAGTGTACTAAATTTCCCTCCAGCTCCAACTCTCATGATCCAACTGGCTATCACAATCTAGGGTACAGTTACCAAATAATGAGCAACCAAGCCAGTCAAAATATATGTCCCAGTATTTCTTGCTTCTTTTATATACGTATATTTTAAAGCATCTGCTTTGTAGGTGTTTGGAAGGGCCCTGACTTGTCTCACGTCTCCATTTTTTGTTTGTTTGTTTGTATCCAGAATTAAATGAAAATAAGTCTTTCTTATACCTAGGAATGTTTTGATTCACACAAGTTGGTGGTGGTAGATATTCTTGGGACTGTCACCCTCATGCCTCAAAGTTCAACAACCATCCTGTCTACAATATTGTGACAATGACAAAATGGCCCTTTGACAATAGGGCCATTTATATTTTTAGTTACTGGGGATTGAACCCATGATGCTTTACCACTGAGTTACATCCCCAGCCCCAGCCACCCTGACTTTTTTTTTTTTTTTAAATACAATAGGTATTTCATAGACATAAAGAACACTCACTATTTAATGCTGAGCTAAGTGAAGAAGCACGTCATCTCTTCCTCTAAAGCAATTAATTTATATGACTCAATCACTTTTCAGGGAACCCTCTAATGGAAGTAATAACACCAGTATTGTATTCTTGGTTTTTCGTGCCGTTCACATGAAAATAATCCCATTCACTTTTATATTCAAGCTGCATTGAGTTTAGGCTAATTTCTCTCAACTGATAATGTTGCCCTTGTGTTTTGAGTCACAATTTAGACGGGAAGCACCTCTATTCAACAATAAGCCTCTAGGGGTTTAAGTAATATTTTAAGTAATGCTTGTAATATATTACTTTAAACACTTCTCCTTGTTGGTGTGTATAATATTTTCCCCAGATCTTCAATTGCTAAAATTGTAGCTGCTGAGATACCTTTCTAGATCGGGTCCTAAAAATCTTTTACACATTGCAGATGATGACATCACCTGCTGTAGGTGGCCCAGTTTGGTCGCCATTCTTAGAGCAGAGGGTTTCTGAAAGACACCAAAGTTGTAGGTCCCGAAGGCAGTCGGGAAATTGGTCATTTCCAGGGATGGACAGAGAGGGCGCACTTCCACTAACGCACAAACAGCCAGGACTTGGTGGGACAAATCCGCAGGCACACCGGAGGGGTATTCTCAAGGCGCAGACTAGTTACATTCTAGTTAAGCTAGACAAATAAACGAGTGTCAAAAGACCTGGAAGAGTGGATCTTCGACGAGAGCAGATCACCAGAAAGCAACTGCTGCATAATTTTAAGTTTCCCTAGAGTCTCGACGGGATTTTCCCTCCTGTCCTGACTCCACTCACCGAGTAGCCTTGGGGGCTCAGTGCCATTCTCCCACCACCTCCTCTTTCTTCACTCTGACTCTGGGCGATCTCACTGCCCCGCCATCGGGCCGCCTTGGTCCGCCTGGACCTCAGCACCTGGCCGGGTGCCTGCCAGAGGGCGTAGGGGGTGGAGGCGCGGCAGGGGCGGGCTCTGTCGCACACCCCCCTCCGCCCCCTCCCAGCCGGCTGCTGGGGCCAGTGGTAGGAGCTCCGCGCACCGCCAGCCGCAGGGGGCGTGGGATGGGGGTGGCAGAGGAGCGGGGCGCCCGCACAGACTAGAGTCAACAGCACACTTCAAAAGGGTGTCGGGGCTGCGTTCCCCTCCCGCGCCCCGGGAACTTCAAAGAGGCCCGCGCTGTCCCAGCTGCCTTGCTCAACTCTGGGGCCCCGCAGCCCCAGCGCGGCCGCCGAGTGGCCATGACCCCGGCGCTCCGCTCAGCGCTCCTCCAGGCTCTCCTGCTGTTTGCAGTGGCCGCCGAACTCTCGGCAGGTACAGTGGGTGTTTTTCCACCTGCGCTCTCGAGGGTGGGAGTTGGGGGCGGTGAGCACACGGGCGAGAAAAACAGGGTGCTCGGAGTAAACTGACCGTCCGCGGGGCGGAGGTGGAAGCGCCAGTCTGGTTGATGGGGCACAGCGTGGGCACCTGACGTCTGGCAGCCGTAGGAGTAGACAGGTGTGTTGAATATAAAGCCACTAGGAGGAAGGGAAAAAAGTCCCGGACGTGGGGTAGGGGTGAGGTGGGTGACTAATTTGGGGGCAGTTTGTAGCAGAATCAGTACAGGAGCGTTTGTAGGTGGGTGCTGAGCTGGAAGCTGGTGGCACTGTGAATTTACCCTGCAAGGACGTGGAAGGCTGCAAGTGCCCCTGGGAGACTCTATACTGAGCCCCTGAGGGCTATGCAAGGATGGTGGCATTATGGTGGTGGGGTTTGGCAATTTGGTTTGAAATTTAGGAGGCGAAGGATATCCCAGAAGCCGTTGGTGCCAAGCTAGGGAGGCAGGAGTAGGAGCTTAAATCTGCGTGGTTTGTAACGCACATTGCTTTCGAGGTACGAGAGTTTCAGGGGGAAAAAAATTCTGGCAAGCGCCCCAGCGTTTATAACAGGTCTGTGCCTTGATAGGCTAAATAGAGCCCTCGACCCAAGCTAGAATCCAAACGTTTCTTTACAATATTTACAAGAAACTGGGGCAAATGCATCTTTGGTAAAATCATAGTCGGCTGTAACTAAAAACCTTTAAGCTTTGAAAGTGTTTTTATTACATTGTCCTGGATTACACAGACCAGGAACAGATTCCTTGCTAACTCATTCTTTAAACATTTCAATCAGACATTGAAGACATTTGCACATAAAAACCTGGTGTTTTTCCATAGAGCTGTACTTTGTCCGAAACTGATTTTGATGCATTTTTGTTTTCCCAGATGACAATCTGTTTGACATTAATAGCTATACTTAGGGTGGGTAGTTTTCCTCTCGGTACCATGTGCAGGAGAATATTTTGAATAGTATGATTGCTGTCATGTATATATTTCAGTGTTTCAAATGACCTGAGAGAATCAGTAAATACAAATAAATCATGAAATATTCAAGTAAAAATAGATAATTGGAAATTATTAATTGACAAAATCTGAGGGTTAAAGCATTTGATTTGTATTTTTGGAAAGCAGAGTCACCATGAGACTGACGGGAAGATGATGGGATAAAGTGACACATGTGCATTTGGAGTTAGTCAATTCATCAGTGGGAAGAAAACCAACCATGGGAAGTCTTTATAAGAAATGGGTGAAAATACTGCTAAATTGGAATACTGAAAGTGTTCTTGACAATTTCATAGAATTTATCCCCCCTGCCATAATAAACACACAACACACACACACACACACACACACACACACACACATTCACACACCTAAAGATAGTCTTTCAGATATGACAGCTTTGACTGGGCATCTATGAAACTTCTTCTACAGACTGACTATACAACTTTTATTTGTGGGAACTAATAACTAGGTTTCAGACATGCTGAAAAAAACAATCAATTTTTTAAAAATTGAAAGGAATATTTCACCATATGACAGAATCTTTTAAAAGTTTTAGAGACCTGGGCATACCAACAGAATAAAACATGCCCCATTATGTTCTTGACAAGGCATGGAAAGTTATGGAAACTTTTGACTTTGAAATGAACAAAAATTTTTTAAAATTAGGTCATTCATTCAAATTTGATTGTTCCCTCAAAATATGAAATCTAAGAAAAATGCATGATATGTAGCTAATGTGTCAATATACTAGAGAGGTAATTATAAAATTGAAATTTACAATGAACTTTTTGTCAAATGCAATTATTAAATTTCTTTAAGAAATTCCTAACCCTTTTGTGTTCCACATAAACGATATATATTGCTACCTCTGTCATTTATTCTAAACTTTAGTACAAATCTTTGGTTATTGGGTAAAGGAATTCAAGGTAGTTTTTACTCTTCATCTTTTCAATTCGTTTTCTCACATGGGTACCTACCTTATTTTTGACATGGCCACTTTTGTAAGTTACATTTTAACATGCTAGATGTTTATGAATATGAACTCACCCTTGTCAGAATGTTGTATGAGGTGTTACTCTTGACATGCTGACATAGGTAGCAAAGCTTCATGACACAAAGTGCTGGCTTTCAATTTGGCTCTGCTGAACACCAGCCCATAAATATCTGAAAATACTATAAACCTCTTTATGCTTTAGTTGCTCTTCTCTAGCATTACTGTCATGTTTGCAGATAACATGCATTAAAGTAGAGAGTAGACCATTGTTCTTCATTGAGAATCTCAGAGGGTAACAGCTGGTGGAAACTTCGAAAAACTACTTACTGGTCTGGAATTGATTTTTGAAAATTAGTTTGTTCTGATTATATAAACTTTATATTTCTTGATGTTTGATAAGACAGACCTAACATAGCCTCAGATTAACCATTTTTTTTCATATTAAACAAAGAACTGGCAATAAATGTTCAGGAGATCTGTACCTTGAAGTGTTGATTTGGATATGAGGCCAGTATATACTGTGTACATTCTCTTCTGCTTTCATAAAACTCCTTTGTCATAAGGTTGGCAAAGATGTATTGAGAGTCCAGAAAGCTATATGCTCTTACTCTAAAATTGTAACAACAGTTCTCATGAAAAGTTTTCAGTGGTGCTTTTGGAAGTGAAAGTGAAACACTAGGGCTGAATTTATAAATGAAAAGATGTTGCCACCTTTGCCCTTTTTTAAGCACAGTCATTTCTTGGTCCATGGGCACAAATGTGGCAAGAACTCCCTGACTCCAAGGACAAGACATCTCAGGCCCAGAAAACAACTGTGCAGATACCCTTGGGAATTTATTTCTTCATTGACTGTACTGCCTAAACCCATTATCTAGCCTTAAACTTAAAGCATATGAAATATAGAGTTCATCTGAATTGCAAAACTCATACAGGGTTTGAAATGGAAGAGGAAATGGAGGTAAGGATGATATTGAATTTTTGATCCAAGTAATGGATGAATGGAAACTTAACTGGGGTGGGGCAGACTGCAGGAAAAGCTGGTCTGGGGGAAGGAAGGGCATGGTGACAGATAGCAGCTCAGTTGGGACTCTGTTGAGTTTAAAATGCCCAATAGACACTTAAACAGAGGTGTTCAGTGAGCAATTAATTTTGTGAGTCTGGAATTCAGGGGGTGTGTGTGGGTTGAAGGTAAAAAGTTGTGAGCCAAGGGCATTTACAGCTAAGTTTTGAAGACACATTGAATAGACTCTCAGATTTAGTAAATAAAGCATAGAACATCCAGTTAAAATGCATTTTAGATAAACATTGAATTTTTTTAAGTATAAGTGTGTAAAAAATGTGACATGTGACATACCTATATTGAAAATTCACTGCTGTTTTATGTGACATATCTATATTAAAAATTAATTGTTATTTAATTCCAATTTAACTGGATACTCAGTACTTTTATCTGGAAACCCAACATAGAAGAGTTATTGTGGTAAGATGAGATGTTCCTTGTACACATATTCCTCGATCATTTATAAAAAAGAGAAGTGCAGACCTATTTTCTTTGTCTTGTCTCTTAGAACTTCTGTTCTGACTCTGCTACCGTCCCCATGTGTGTCTCAGGATGGGTCACTCTCAATTCTTTGAACATGATGTGCCACAACTTCTGTATGAACTGGAGAGAGTACCTACACTTTCCCAACCTGACATGAGTATCTTAACATGAAAGTACATCTGAAAGAAATAACTTTCTCGATTCCTGGAAGTGATGGTTACATGAAAACTGTCAGTTCTCCCCAAATTTACCATCTTTTGAAAACTATTGTTTACAGATTCATTTTTTAGAGTGGTTTTCTTTTTGAATAAACTTTTATGTTTCTCTTTTAGAGGAAATGCTTCCAGGTAGTAGATACTGAACTTTTTTTTTTCTTTGCCAGTATTTACATTTCTTATTGTAACTCAGAGGTTAAGAGAAGAGGAAACTGGACAGAGTAGGAGTTAGACTGTTGAGCCCTAAAGGCAGGACCTATTAATCTGAGACAATTTGTGGTTTTGGAATATGTTTTTAAGAGTATTGCAATCCTTTGGCAAAGAGTTCAGGATGCATGAATATCAGTCAGAGGCTGTGTTCTTGCAAATTCTTGACCAGCATTTCACCTACCAACTGTATGGTCTTCATTTTGAGATCTGTAGTGAAGAGTGTCCTACAGGTAGACACCTGTTGGTATGCATCCTTAAGTATCTCTTGCAGATATGTTCACATGTATATAAAGAGTTCATTTTAATGAATAACAAAATGAAAGAATTAATAGTAATTGAAAAAAAGCAAAAATAGAAGCACATAGATTGTACAATGTATCATACTTTATCACTTGCATCTCTGAAGTTTCTTCTGGATTTTTCATTGCTTTGGCCTTCTAGATGTTAAAATTTCTAGTCAATGGTCAAATTTTCAAGGTTAATCCTTATACTATTTAAGAAATTGGGCAAGGTGCTATGATGCATGCTTACAATCCCAGCGACTAGAGAGGCTAAAGTAAGAAGTTCACAAATTCCAGGTCAGCCTCAGGAATTTAGCCCTTGATTTACCGGAAAAAAAAAAAAAAAGTGGCAGGGGCTGTAGACACAGATCAGTGGTAGAGAGCCCCTGGATTTAATCCCCAGTACAAGAAGGAAAGAGGGAAAAGAAAAATATGTTCAGAAACTGGAAACTGTTGTATGTTCTTAACTTATATAGAATTATTAGAGGGACCTAGTAATATCTAATAGTGTCTTGACTTAGGTGCCTCCCCCACTCAGAAGGAGATATCTAGAAAAATAGAATGAAGTAAGGAAAAGTTATATTCTCTTGTTACCTAGTCCTTTGGCTCCCAGCTGCATGATAGAATTCCAATACATTTCCTTTTCTTAATACTTAACAATGGAATAGCTTAAGGGCAACTAATCAGGGTATGTGAAAAGCCAGAATT